AATCGATAGAGGAAGCCTCTAAGATAAGTGAATGAACTACATCCCCTCACTTTGTACCAGTCAATGGCGCCTAGGGTCATGTAGTTAAGTGCTCACTGAACTGTGTGGTCAGCTGTTCAAGGCTACCAAGGATTCGGTGAGGGAAAGCAGCAACAGGCTTCTCTCAAGATGGACAGCCTTGGAAACGTTTCAGGGCAGTTCAGCTCTGACCCCTGAAGGTCACTATCAGTCAGAATTAATGGCAGTTTGTTTTGGTTTTTACTTTATACCATGAAAAGAATTGGAAGCTCGGATTACTCGTATAAAAAGAAAAAACAAATGGAAGTAGAATACAGATTGAGTTTTGCCCCACTTTGGACCAAGGGTGCCTAATCTGACTTTTGGTCAGAATTATTTAAGCTATTTTAATGAAAATAGAGATTCTCGGGTCTTTCCCCAGAATTATGAATCTGTGAAGTTGGGTGGGCCAAAATCGTGTGTTTTTAACAAGCTTCTGTGGAAAACCATGTGTGACTAACCATGCTCCAGCCAGGTGGTGGCTGTGCTTGCTCTTTTTGTGTGCGCAATAGTTTATCTCATCTCTGGTCTTGAGTTACCCCTGAGGATCCCAGAAATCAGGATCCAGGGAAACTAGAGGCAGCACATAGACTTCCTCTGGTATTTCCAAATACTTGACTCAGGGAGGAACTAGAGGTGTAAGGGTTCCAGATGCACCTGATTTTGCCAGTGTATTCAGGTAGTCTTAATTACATGTTGGGGAGCAAGGCAGGTGGTTGATTCCCGCCCTAAAACCAAACTCACTGCCATCCAATCAATTCAGACCCACGGCCACCCTCTGGGATGGAGAACTGTCGCTGTGTGTTGCTGAGACTGTACATCCTTACAGAATGAGATAGCCTATCCTTCTCCCTCAGTGGGGCTGGTAGTTTCCCACGGCTGGCCTTGCAGTTAGCAGCCCATCGCTCAACCCACGACACCACTAGTGTCCCTTCCTGCCCCGAGGAAGGTCTCAGTCCCATCGGGAGTGCTTTCTTTCGCCTTTCTCCTCAGGCCTTCCCCCAGAACCCTCCTTGTTTTGATTTCTTTTCGCTATAGTTCACCATAAATTTCGAGGACTTTCTCTCCTTATCTCTCCTTTCTCACAAGATTAGCTATTAAACCCAGCAATTAAACCACACAACAATGGACTTTGGACTGGTCATGGAAATAACTGTCATG